TACCTTCAATATGGTTTATTTTAAATAATCAACTATCTCAAATTATTATCAGTTATGAAAAAATGCTAAATATAATCTTTGAAAGAATTTGGTAATTGAATAAACGAGAAAAAATAAAAATGCTTATCCAGGTCAAAAATGAATCTACGGAAATACTATTCGATCCTCAGCTGGTGTAATCAAATAAGTAATTACTGCCACAGCTGGACCCTGGGATCTTGAGTATAGGAGCCCAATGCCTTACTCACCATAGGAATATGTATATTTAATACTATACAGTGAAAAATGTCTCGGTCTAAGTGATATTTTACTATGGAAATGTTATTTATATTTGGATTTTACAATTTTTGTGAGGCTTAAAATACATACGGGTTTTTGATAAAAACTGGATTACAAATCATTTAATAACTTTTTTACTTTCCTACCTATACTAGGTAAGGAAAGTATTGCAATCGGGTCCAAATTTCCGATCTGCGGTTTTCGATGGATCTATACGTTTCAGAGCTCCCTGAGTCCAAAAAACACATTTTTAGCCATCGGTCTGTCTGTCTGTGCCAAGATTTTCTCGGGAACTACTGAACCGATTCTGTTGCTTCTTTTTTTTATTTTGTAGGGTTTCGACCACTGATGCCTGTGACAGAAATTCGGTGCTCAATACGCAATAGCTTGCGTGCAATAAATGAAAAACATGTTTTTATATAGACTATAGTGCGAAAATGGTTATAACGATTTTTATGAAACTTTTCTTTAACGTTCTAATCATCGTCCTTCGAAAAAAAATCAGGAAAACAAGTTATAAAGAAAAGAAAAATGTTATGGGGCCTAAATCTCTAAGTATACATTATACGGTAAAATTTTGAAAGATAATTAAATTACCAACAAAACAAAAAAAAAAATCATCGAATTCGAACCAGTATTGCAATACTTTCCTAGCTATACTAGGTAAGGAAAGTATTGCAATCGGGTCAAATTTCCGATATGCGGTTTTCGACGGATCTATACGTTTCAGAGCTCTCTGAGTCCGAAAAACACATTTTTAGCCATTGGTCCGTCTGTCTGTCTGTCAATCTTCACTATTTCCTCTACTTTTAACAGAAATTATTGTTTGACAATACTAAGCTATGGCAAAAAGTTTTTGATCAACAATATTAGATAGTGTTGAAATTTTTACACTGATCTTCCTTAAGCCGGTTTACATTGCTATAATTTATCAAATAAATCGTACTCAAATCTTGTGTTTGATCAATTTTCAGGAAAATAAATCTAGTTCAGTTCTTTTTTGTTTCTTCATGGACACATGTTATATAAGATATTTACTACTTCTGAAATAGGTTGGAAAGTCTTGAGAGTGGACACACCAGATATTTTTATTAATAACAGTCTGGATGAGGAGGAAATATTTTGTTGTCAATAACATTGTTTCTAGACTTTTGTTCCGCTAAATTCGCAATCGGATATACTGTGCGTTCACAGTGGTTTGCTCGAACATCCACTTTGAACATTTCATTTTAAATATAAAAGTTATTTTCGTATCAGAACCAAACAAAAAAAAAAAAAAAAAAAAAAGAAAATGATTGGATCCGATATATACAGAAGGCTGTAGGGAAGGGCTCTTTGGAGGCAGTGAAAATTCAATTCATGTCAGACCGCGGGCTAAACTTGTTTTCAATTTTGTCTCTTTGAATCCTTTTTCTGCTCCCCGGTGGATTGGGTATTGATTGCTTAAGGTTTACCTTCAGCCATGTTTTATTTATTTATTCTCTCCTGTATTCAAGTTTGATAGAAAGCGATGATGATATCTCGAAGAATGTAAAATAATCTCTACTGATAGGTAAATACCATGAATGTAATGAATATTATCAAAAAGTAATAAATATTGGGATGTCCTATAAGTTCCTTCTTTTTTTTACTTTTACGTATATATGTAATATATAATAAGGGTAAGTATTGCGATCGAGAAAATTTTTGAATCTGAGTTTTCAACGGAAATACACGTTTTGGGATACCCTGAGTCGAAATGACCAAGTCCCGAAAAATGGTCTGTAGTATGTTAGCAGTCTAGCTCAAAAATGAAAAGTCCTACGAAACTGATTTTACGTATTTAAGATTAGATGTGACGGCAACTTTTTCCTTAAAATCGGCTAACCGGAAGTGCCACTTTATATCAACGCTGAAACA